AACAGATCAACATGCCAACAAGTGTTCCTTTCACAGGAAGATGTCCAGAAGGGTATATTTTCATTTGACTCCTGAAGCAAGATTAGAAAAACACCTCCCAAAACTGTAAAGTCAAGAGTTTTATAGAAATGAATTGTTGGTTATGTGCCCTGAGGCTAGCAATGACTTCTCCTTTGCTGCCAGGAGACTGAAAAGTCTGATGCCGCGGAAGAAACTGAGGCACACACAGAAGACAAGGCAGATGAAGGGGCTCATGAAGAGGCTCAGTCTGATCAGTCACCATCAGAAGATCAACAGGTAATTTTTCCTTTTTCTCTTTGTGATATGAGGGTTTTACCTGTGCTAAGCACATGAAACATAAACCCACAGGCCCTCCTGGTGTGCCTCAGGGTGGGAAGACTGATTGCAGAGTGGCCTGTTTGTCTTTTGGATGCATTTTCTTTGGCATCATGGTGATATGAAACCTAGATAAAACTCCAGGGAACTTTGCTCCGAATCTTGAACAACAGGAGTTGTCTTTATTTTACAGTTTCCTTTTGCCACTCATTACCATAAGTTTGTTTTTTTTTTTTTTTTTTTAATGTTCATTTGGAACCAGTCACTAGTTATGGAGAATAATTTAGGACTAGACATCCGAGCCCTGTCTGTATGGAAAAATTTGCTGCTATCAATGGCCAGCATCTGCAGTGCTCGTAAATCTAGTTGTTAATGTTTGTTGTCATGTACCAGCATTGACTGCTGTTGCAGCAAGCCAGATCTGACAGTGTCTTCTCCAGGCCATGCAGAAACCCCTGGGCAATGCAGAAATGGAGACTGTTGTTATCCTTTCTGCCTGCATCTTGGTCTGATATTACAGTCACATGGGCAGATCTCAAACTGCAGTGCTAAATGTTCTTGGAAGAAGCCATCTGAGTTCCTTCAGTTCCCTAGTATAATATCCTGCAGTTAGCTAACTTCAGTAAAGTGGTTGGAAGGTAGATGGATCCTGCGAAAAGGGACCATTCTGTTGTGTGTCGGTGTCTTCCTCAGTGGGGTGTTTATGTTACTGGTCAGGTTCTAGACCCAGTAGAGACTAAGCAGAAATGGATCCTGTGTCTGGAGATAGGGATCCAGCTGCTTTATTTCTCCTGCTGCTCTGACAGTTTGGCCTTTAAGGATGGGTTTATGTTGATGTTGCAGTGTCAGGTGCCTCTCTTCCCAAAGAGGCAGGTCTACTGCTGGATCAAGCACTTACGCTTGTCAGATTTTTTTGTGGTTTGGAGATCAGATGGCCCCATGGAATATCTGTCACAAATGCATCATCTCTTTTACTAAAGAACAAAACAAACGTGTTTTGGTTTTTTTCCATCTAGCTGCAATATTTTTCCAGAGGAAACACCTCTCCCTAAGCCTTTCCCCATTACCCTTTTTAACAATGACCAAACCAGTCATTGTTAGGCTAGAAAAGCACCCTTTTAGACAGCCTCATGAAAGTCTCACACACTGGGCAGTCCCATCTAACATTGCAAAATGGCGATGATGAGAGACAGTCCTCAGTGGGAACGGAAATTTCTCCTTAGAGTATATCCAGGCACTTCTTATGTCTCTGTGAATTTCAGCCTGCACGTGAGTGCCATCAACTACCTTTTTCCTCGGCTCTTAAGAGAAGCCCAGTGTAAAACTGCAGTGCATCCCCTGGCTGGATTAGGTTACTTGTCATTCTGTCTGGCAGTCTACTCTAATGTTTTTCAAATGACAACAGAATGCTGGAACATGTCTGCAAATGTGTCAAGCAGCTGTGTATGAGAGGTTTTGTAATGACATAATGCAATACCACTCCTATACAACAAGCACCTTGCTCCATTTCTCACAGAATGGATTGGATCTGTAAGTGGAAAATATGTTCTCCTTTAGTTTTACAGGGAGGGGACAGGCAGAGGAGAGAGCACCAGGCAAGATAGTGTGTATGAAGAGATCTTTCTGTGGTTATGAGGGCATAAAGTATGGTTAGTCTTACAAATCCCCCCCCTTTCACCTGTACAGTATTGGCAGTGTCGAAATGTTCTTACATGGTCTTACATAAGGAGGAGCAAAAGTCTTCATGAAATCGTCCAACTCTGATACCCACCTTCATCATGCCAGGTGTATATTAGCTCCTAGAGGAAGAAAAAAAGCACTGTTTCTGTTCCTGTCTCACTCATTTTTAGAGAGGGTACTCAACACTGCAGGCAGCAAGGTACCAGTGGCTCCTGCCAGGGAGACACGAAAACCATTTTTCACCTTGTTCCACCGCCTCCTTCCCATGTCACCTGGGACAAATCACTTCAGTGACGTGGCATCTGTCCATCTTGCCACAGTTCATCCCAATTATCACTTCTATTGGGATGGCATGAATCATTCTGTAGAAATTCTGGTATTCACATTCACTACAGACAGCACACAGAGGATGAGTTTAGATGAGAAGAATAACTTTGAGGCAGCTACAGTGAGATGAATTCCACTTTTTGTCTCTGTATCTCATTTTACCCTTATAAAAGAAAGCTAGAATAACATTTCCTTACCTGCCCACGGTTTTATGAAGTTAAATACATTTAAAGACTGTCAGATTGCTGTTGGAGTATCTCCATTGGATGTTAGGTCCTAAAGGATACATGTAGTATCAACACAGTAATTTCAGTGTTTCCCTCTCTTCCTCTCATTCTGCAGCCCAGCACATCTTGTTTGACTGCTTGACCACACTGAATAGATGTTTTATGTGTGCTCTCCCCACCCATGTCTTGTTTTCTTCTCGCTTATTAAGAGCTGGTCTCTGTATACTGAGTTCTGAAAGTGTGATCTTTTTATCAGCGTCCCACTGTGTTTTGCAGCCAAACAGTTGCATCTTTTGAATAGTAGTCAGGTCCCTGTTGGAGTGGCAACTTACTGTTTTGACAAACCCTCAAATCAAAATGCCATAATTAAAACATCGCGGTTTTATGTCCTGCTTCTGAATTAATATACCAGTGGGAATCTAGTATTGGCATTTTGGCCTTATTTAACACTCAGTTTCAAACTGGCTTAAAAATGACTCTCTGATGTGGGGTGTAACCCAGCTGGCTTTTCTCCACTGACTTTGCAGGAGAAATGCCAGTGCTATAGAAAAATTCTGGAAAAGTCTTGGCGAGGTAAAGATATCGCAGTCTTTGCCAATGAGCACAAGACAGATAACAAAATAAACCGACTGTCTCAATTGTGGAGCTGCATGGAGGGTCCCAGATTTCAGAAGGCTCCTCCAATGCCTCAATAGCAGGAATGGCAGCCAGTGGTCAATGTGGGTATGTGTGGAAGCTGCAGCCCTCCCCTGCTGCTTCTGCTGCCCTTGCTGGGAGATGCAGGAGTCCAGAAGCTCCAGCTTTTTGTCTCAGGCTGGTATGACCCTGAGGAAGCCAGTGAGAGATCCCAACCCTCTGAAAAACGAATCTCTTAATTTAGCAGCTGCCTCCAGAAAGCGTCAGGGATAAGTGCACCGTGCGACAGGTTGTTCTTCACACACCTCACATCAGACTGCCTAGGCTTCAGCAGCTCCAGCCCCTCCTTCGCACAAGCACCCAGGAAGCCCAGAGCAGATGTCGAAACAGAAAGTCCCTTACACAGATCCAGTAGTAAATAACAGAAACAGCTTTCAGCCTGGGTTGCCAAGGGACAGCTGCACTAGGGTTTATTTAGATTATGACATTTTTTTTCACCTTAAACCTGTTGCATACTTTCCTTCCCTAATCAATTCATCAAGCTTATCCTTGACTTCTTCCTAAACTTTTTCATTCCTAATCCCCATCCTCTGATGGAGAAAGTTGAGGAACCATTTTGTTTGGATATAGTGTCCCTTTTTCTTGCTTTGTCTGTCCCTTTGTTTTTGAGTTTTTTGAGGAAAAGACTGTGACCTCCTATGCATGTGGCACAGCAAGGGCTCTGCTGGTCACTAGATGTGACGGTAATAATTTTCCTTTATTTTTACTATCTGATTTTAACTTTAGATTTTAGCTTGGGGGTTAGAATATTTTTTAAGTGGTGTCCCAGTTATATCAGTTTGCAGTACAGATAAGGCTCACTTCAGGGCAGAATTATTTTAGAAGCATGTTCAAAAATCATATTGTAATGCAAGTCTGTATCTTGCCTCAGCAATTCCCCAGGCCATATATAAACCCTGGCACTGCAGCTCACTCCCTTATCTCAATTCATTCTATGCAAACTCGTATCAACCGGTCATGCCTTCTTCATCGTACTATTCTATTATTTGCCCTTTATCTTTGGGATTTTGTGTGAGATTAGCTCTTCTCTCCAATAACCAGCTTGGTATCTAACATTAAATTCTATTCACTGTACATTTATATTTTTTTTCTCTTTTTTATCTCTTCTCTTCATCACTTTTGCTCAATCCACAGTCTAAACCCAGCTTGTATTATTTCTTATTCCCCAGTACTGTTGAGCCAAGGCATCTGTTCCAGCCTACAACAGTTAACAGAATTGCAAGCCAGATTCTGAGTGATGATATATAACATAGATAAGGCTCTGTATAATTCTGATTTAACTTTCATTTTGCAGACAAGCTAATTACAAAAAAACCTCAAACCCCACCTGAAAAATCAAACAAAACCCAAGCTCTAATGCTTTGCTTGTCAATGAAGCAGATTTGGTTGGAAGTATCTGAGAAAAAGGAAGCTGTATTTAATGATTTTATAGTCCTTTTTCAAAGTAAAAGCTTAGCTTAAATGTGCTTTGTAAGTTAATCTAGAGGACATTATCTCAAAATAAATCTACTGAATTCCACATAATTTTCCTAAATTCAGTGTTTAATTTCTGCTATGTTTTGTCTGTATGACCTCTGATATTCTTTCTTTAATCTATCTTTTAAACCTTTTCGTTTGTATCTCTTATGTAGGAAAGCAAGGAAGAACATGCAGCAACAGGGGTATAGTATATTTGGACATTTTGCTTTTATCTTTTGTTTGTGTGCATTTAATTCCTTTTCAGTCTCATTGCTTCACCCAAGAGAGTAAATTCTCATTCATGAAACTAAATATACTAGTATTATATTCTGCTAGAGAAAATTATTGGTCACATCATAGTCTTATTGTTTGGGAACAAAGACAGGCCTTTAATCATTAAAAGCTGTAAATGGGAGAGAAATTGTCTTTCACAGATTCTTTAATAAAATTTGCCAAGGACTCCCAAGACAGCTATATCTTTGACAATCGCTAACTAACACCATGCTGATTACATCTTCAGTGGTATGAATGTGAGAGAGTCATTCTGACAATTTAGGCAGTTCTGCCTGTAAAGGAAATATTTTCCTTGCCAGAATTTGTGAGACCCAGGTGCAAATCCTTATACACTTTTCTGCTTTGCCCAGCATTGCAAGTTTATGCCTTGAATGTTTCCTCAGTGTTCCCAGTAAAACTAATGATTACTTTAGGCTATTTCCCACTACAAACCTGCAACTAGTAAGAGGACACATTCACATCTTCCCACTTCCAAACTGCAATACATGTATATATACATGTGTATACATACACATGCCTGCTGTCAGAGTTATGTATTGTGGACCTGGCAGCTGAAACAGAGCTCCTGGACCTATGGGCAAAGCGTGGGAGCTCCTGGTGAGATTGGCGAGGGCTGTTAAGGCTGATTAGTGCACCCCAGCACCACTAACTAATGCTTCAATGAAGAAAAATACCCATTTTTTCTGTAAAAGGTAATTGACTTGAATTTTGAACTGAAGTTGTTAGTATCTGAAAGATGTTGCTTGTCTGTGAGCTTGCCTGGCCCTGTTTCAAGCAGTTCTAATGAAAGGCACCTTTCCTGGGGGAAGATGCTGAAAGAGGCAATATTCCTTTGGCACGAGAACTTCTAATCCAGCTGACCTGTGTGGACATTCGCGTTACGTTTCTAGTTTTGCAGGGATGATCCCTTAGTGCAGCGGTTTTCCTTGAAAAACAATGATTAAAATCAGGAATCTTGATTACAACAGGTCCATTCCCAAGCACATGTTTAAGCAAGTTTTTACTTCAGTGACTCAGGTGTGACTCTCTTATAGACAGTTTGTGCCTGAGAGGGAAACCTAAGGTCTGTGCTGCTCATATACTACCTGCAGTCCTGACTGAAAACTAATTATGTGTTCTTTGATTGGTTGATTACACCAGGAAGAAATTCCCACAATTTTTGTAGTCTAGGTAGTATATGAAGGTATGACACTTTGAGATAAAGCTTGTTTGTACATACAGATGGAGTGCCTTTGATCAAGAGTTTGCTGGAAGAGAAGGAGCAGAGAAGCCTACAATGCCATTTTCAGTTGTTGTTTCCAGAGCAGGACTACACTTTGAAGCTTTATTTACTAGCTCTTAAAAGACAATAAACACAGATTGTTGTCTGTGTTACGTAAATGCTAGCTTTCAGGTAACTGTCCATTTGGTTGACTGAAAGAAAGGGCTATTGCCTTTAAATTGCGACATTTCTCCTTTATAAAAGAGAGAAATAAGAACTTTTGAAACAGAAACAAGGCTGTATTATCTGACTCCGCATGATTTTTAGATTATTCAGGAGTCTAGTTCCTGTGCCATGAATCTTGACTTGTTTACTGCTCCAAGAAAGCATATAATTAAAAATACTAAACTTTTTGTCATATTTACCTACATTTCATATTCCCATTTTGATCTCAAACATCTGTGTACAGCTTAACCATGTACTGTGTTCTAACCTGTCTAAGAAGAGGGTTCTTGTATTCCAGCACTTGCCTATTAACTCCACAAAGCTAGAGCCCTGGCATGTTAAGATTAAAAACTCTATACATTACTCCTCTGTTCTATTTTTAAAGCTGTAATAATATTGCATTTACTAGAAACATAACAGTTGCAAAAACAGAGTTCTGCATTTGAAGACTGTTTATTTTTCCTTCATTTCCTACATAATAACTACAACTACTTTCTATAAAAAAGGAAGAAGAAGAGAAGCAGGACGAGGGAGAAGAAAAGGAAGAGGTAGAGGAGCAAGAAGAGTCTTAGTACAGTTCCCTATGACACATTCTTTCTTGAACAGGTTTTCAGGTAACTATTAAGATATCCAGCACAGTTTCTAAATGTTCTTAAAATAACATAAACTTGAAAATTTTGTACATGTTGTTGTTATATGCAATGACAAGAATGGAAAGGATGTACCAAAACCAAAAAAAGGTATTATATATTTGACACATAACGGTTAGTCAGAAGTATTGCCCTTCATGACTCTGTTAGGTTTCCCCATTTCTGTGGCATCAATGAAGCTGACTTTCCTACACAGCTGTCTCTGTGATCCCTAATATCCACCAAATACTGTAGGCCCTTCGATCCATTCCCTGTTGCTCCTACAACCTTCACCTCCCTGCCAGGCTTCTGACATCTACTTTGGGCTTATTCCTTAGCATCTTCCCACGGTATTCCCTAGCTCTCTGCTGTGGCCCTGAAGTACGAGCAATGCACAACGCAGCACGCTAGGTGTGTACTGCGCAAGTGGTCAGTATATATCCACAAAGTGCCCAACCGATGGGCCAAACGTACGCTTAACCGTTAGATTGATTGCAGCTTCTCTTTCATCTGGGATAAGAATTTGTCTCTGTCCTCTCTTACTCAGCTACTGATTTCACCAAAACTTTTGAAAGCTTCATGTCTCAAATGAAGCCCTCTCTCAAACTCAGATGAAATGTTAAAAAAAAAAAAAAAAAAATTACTGGGGAAGGGAGAGGAGCCTGACCAGAAATATGACACACTATAGAAATACTCTGATTGCCTGAGCAACTAGGCCAAATGTGACTCTAAAACCTCAAAACAGGAAGCATATGGGAGGCAGAATTTGTGCCTGTATAGATGTATGAGCATCCCGCATTGCTTCAGTTTTGTCAGCACGTGGTTTCAAATTTAATGTTGTTTGGGTTTTCTTCTTTCTCCTACTGTCTCTTCTCCTCTGCACAGAAATAAAGATCAAACAACCACTTACTAGGGAAAAACTGTTAACCTGCAAGAAAGTTGGAATTTCCAGCAGATTTTTCCTTGGGTGGTAGGACTGCCTCCTGATTGCAGACACAGAGTGTGATATGCTCTTTCTAGAACTAGCAGGATTCCCAGCTAACTCTGCCTCTGAGGTAGTTGCCATAGGTTTCACGAACCATATGCTGATGTGGAGACCCAGCGTCTCAACAGGACAGAAAATCTGTCACTTCTTGCACGCTACCTCTCCCAAATTTGTGTTCCTATGTTGCATGGGAATTAATTCATCTCAATGTTGTCCAGTGTTCAGACATGTAAAATCTCAGAAGGAGTGCTAAATTCTAATCTAATTTTCCTTATTTTTTTTCAGGAAGCACAAGCTGGAGCAGCCCCACCAAAGAAAATAAAATCACTCTCTCAAGCAAACCATCACTACCTTTCATGCCTGTAGACATATGAACATATAAATACATAACAGAACAAAGACACCACTCTGTCCTACCTGCGGCCTTTATATATATATTTGGTATTCCAATTGCTTGTTAAAATGGGTCTTCTTATATCTGACTGATAATATTTCAGTTGATTGTTATATGTTGGAATAGTATTGTCCATGTCGCATTTTAGATTGTAAGCTCCTCAGGGCAGGAACCATGTCTTTCTCCGTGTTTATCTACTGCCAAACACATTGCTGCCACTCAGCAGATAACTGCACTCACACAAGTGATGTATTCAGAGAAAAATTCAGCACTGAAAACTGCAAAGAGGCTTCCTGTATACAAGCTATGTGAGTCACTTCTCCCTCTGCTGGCTTTTGAAAATGATTGAGATTTCCATTGTACAGCAGTTTAAATAAATGCTTTTTCTGTCATATCTGTTCTTTGTCTACAAAAGCATTAATTTAACCCTAGCAAGCTGCGCTAAGATCTGTAAAGTTAAGTTTTCTCCATCGTTATTTTTGTAGGCTACACAAAGTCCTTCACCTTGCCTTACGTTCCTGCTGCTGTTTCTGTTGTGTATAAGACCCCAACCACGAGGATACACAATCTTCATTGCAGGAAAGAGATGTCCCAGTCCCTTCTACTGAAGCCTTGTCAGTCTTCATGGATACATCTGTATTCACTGGGCCAGGGAGGCAAAGGAAATTAATCCACGTTCACGCTGTAACTGTTGGTTAGAAATTCACTGAGGAAGACGGAGCTTGGATTTCCGTCCCTTGTCCAATTACCTTTTATGAGATTCATAAAAACTTCTTATCGAGGAAGGGAGGGGATGAGAAATGCTTATTGCCGAAGTAGTCCATAGCTTCATAGACAAAACAACCTCGAAAGGAACCACAAGTTTATGCCTAACTCTGATCAAGAAGAGGCTGGCTTTTCAAGCTGAGATCTCCTATACTGCGAGTGCTTGAACAGTAATTCAACAAATAAAGAGGAAGAAAAATTTGTGGAGGTTTCCTGAATCTCCTGAGTGGGTACATTTTTTGTTCAGAATACATCTAAGGTTGCAATTGCTGGGAGGGGATGGATGGGAAAGGAGTGCGCTCTGTCTGCGCTGTTCTCACGCTTGTAGGTGATGCTGAGCTCAGAGCTGGCAGGTCCAGCTGAGGGCAGGACCTTGGAGTCCTCACTTGCAGCTCACCAAAATCATCAGCTCAACATGCAGCAGCGGCCAAGACCCAGGAAAAGGCCGGGCACCGTCAGGAGGACGGCGTGGCTTTGCTGCCGTATAAAGCCTTGCGGAGTCGACATCATGAGCACTTTGTGCAGTCAGGTCTCTGCATCTCAGGGAAGACATAGTGGCGTAAGAGGAGGTACAGAGAAAACAACAATTAGAGAGGATGAAACAGCTGCTCCATGAGGAGACTGAAAAGACTCTCCAACTTGGAGAGGAAGCCAAGGCATTTACAAAAATCATAAAGGCCATGAATAAGATGAATGCAGAACTGTTAGGCAAAAAATCCTGCAATGCTATAATGAAAATTAGTATACACAGTTAGAATACACAATAAAATTAGTAGATCAGCTTAAAAGAGATAAAAGAGAGCACTTTTTATACGCTGGGTTGGGAACTTCTGGAATTTGTTGTCACAGGATGTTACGGAGACTGACAATGTCAACAGGCCCAAGAAAGTATTGGGCAATGTCAGGAACGGGAGGCTCATAAGTGAATACCGCAGCCTGGGATGTGTCCGCCAATATCCCTCATCCAATGAATCGTGGGTGCTGGGGGCAGAAGAAATTGAAGGCAGCGGACTTGGTCTCCCTAAATAGCATGGCCCATTTCCACTTTCAAAGACTCAGTACTGGGTTAGGTGAGCCACTGATCTGACCATTTCTTATATTCCTGCAGGTGATTGCTCTTCCTGGGGAAAATGCTCCCCATCTCGCCGGCAGCCAAATTGGGGTGCCAGTCATTGCTGCAGTAGTTCTGAGCAAAAGGCTGGTCTTTTGGGAGTATGGTAGGCAAAATGGAAACAGAACTGTTAATCGCTTTGGAAATGCAGTAAATCCAGCACAGTAAGCGTGTGTTGTGCAACAGCCGGCGTGTTCGTGGTAGCCTTGATGTATCCCCGGGCTCTCTGAGCTCTGTACGGCTGGTGAACCGCGGGCACCACTTTTCCCGCTGCCGATGTACAGCACAAAGAGCCTGAGCATACTCGATACATCAAGCAGGCCCAAAGGCTTTGGGCTTGAAATAAAAACACCACACCTTGCATATTCAGGTATTAGTTGTTAAGGCAGAAATATGGTAACCATCTTCTTGAGAGGGTATAATCTGGAAAGCCTGTCAGGGAATGTGAGGAATGCTAAGCCTCCCGTACAGGAGTGACGCACTCCCCTGGTCTTCAGCGGGTGACTGAGGTTATGCTCCGTGTGTGGTGAAAAAGCAAAGCGGGTAGCGGGTGGTCGTACTCACCACACAGCTCTTCGGTGCCTTCCTTGGGATGATGCTCCTTAGCACGTGCTGATCGTCTTTTCTGCCAGACGAAAAGGAGGTTGTGAGTATGCAAAGGATAAACTGAAAGCTGGCTGCTGCTCGGTGATTGTAGCCGTAACGCTAATTCTGCTTACACAAGCCTAATACTTTCTGCAGTAATTTAGTGCAACTAGGAAAAGAATTAAGTATTTTCTAACTACAGCACAGTAGCACAAATATATGAACTATTGACTTAAATGCATTTGAAAACATACTGTCTGCATTTTCATATCATTGATATTTTACTGGGAGAAAGCAGCTGCAGTCGGTTAACAGGGTGCGCCCGGTGCGCGGCGTTCCACATGCTCCAGGAGACTGTGGATGCAAAATCATCCTGGTGCACCACAGTTAAACGCAAAACAGCATGCTGCTTTTTGTGACACTTTGGTATGTAAAGTATTTTCCTTGGACGATTGATGCTAGAAACTTCTAGTATACTGAAACAAGCTAAAATTAGAAAGGCATCAAGCTATGCTTCTACAGATCCATATATGTCATAGGATGGTGGCTGGCTGCACTTTAAAACGATTGATTGTCAAGTTTAACAGGCTGCTGAAGTGTAAAAGAAGTGACTACAAGTATCACCACAAAGCAACTAAGTAGATAGGGCTAGTCAACGGCTTGCGCTCTAGGAAAATAAATATTAGGAGCTTCATTCTGTTCCTCGTAATAAAGGGTTTTGAATAACAGGTCCAGAAGGCAACCTGGGCCATGTTGTCTCTTGCATGAGAGCAATTGTGAGCCAACAAATTATGTAAGAGGTTTTTTCCTAAGAAAACTCTGAGGGAAATTCATTGGAGAGAAATTAAATTGTTCAGTAATTTTGCCAATACAGCACTAGCCCCCAGTCAGTGTTTCTGGTCACGTTTCCAGCCTCCTCATCTGTTCACCTGCCTTCCAAGTGATAATACTTGCTAATAGTCTTCTCCTTACTGCAAGAATATCAGTGTTAAAGAAGATAAGACTATTTATCTGCGTCCTTTGACAAATTCAGAAGGCTGGAAATGCGCTTGACAAACAACCTGGGAAGCTGAAACTTCAAGACAGTAATTTCTTCAGAAGGCAGATTGGAATTTTGTGGTTTGCTGATAAATATCTTGAAGAACTCTTGCTGTTCCTCCAGTTGCAAAGCCATTGCTGTGCATACAGCAAACGGAGGAGGCGGCGATTCTCAGCTGAGACTCTCATTCTTACTGAGTTAACTGTCTCCATTTTCCTCAGGGGTAAGTAAGGTGCAGAGGTAGGATGACACGCTTAATACCACAGATCAAGGGCACTAGAGTCCAAACTAGATGCGGACTGCCTGCTGTGCATTCCCCTGCTTCAGAACATACCAACCATGGCTTTGCACGTGGTGATGACTTTCTGTCACTAAATATTTTGAGTTATTTAGGTTGGAAAAGACCTTTAAGATTATCGAGTCCAAGCGTAAACCTAACACTGCCAACTCTACCACTAAACCATGTCCCTGAGTGCCACATGTACACGTTTTTTAAATACTTCCAGGGATAAAAGTCGGAGGGAACCGTGGAGTCCTTATCTCAGAGGCATGAACGATGAATCTCTGAGAACACCTGGAACTGCTTTACAGTGACCACAGTTTCTTTGAGGAATGGTACCTTTCTCTTTCAGGATGTTTGATTTGTGAGGAATGAAGTTGTCACCAAGTTTAAGAGAGACTGAGTTTTGATACCAGCCCATCCAAAACCATTTTTGACCACAGACTATTCAGTTAACTTCCTTGCGCTTTGCTTGCCCTATGAAAGTGAGAAAATACTTGCAAAAAATTTACGGGAATAAAATCAAAGTATCAACGCACTGATTGAAAGATGGACGTATAACTGCATCTTCTTTCTTTGATAAGCTTTTGCTTCTGAGTTGTCCATTGCACTTTAAAGATGTTAATGTCTACGTTTTTTTCCACCATATTGATATTTGAGAGCTACCAAAACCACCTTCTCCTTTACACTATATGTTCACTGCTTTCTTACCTAACTCTGCTATTAAGCAGCCTACGGAAGAAATGTCTGGAAAAATGGTCACCTTTCCCTCTTTGTTGCTCACTGGCATAGATCAGGATTGCACTTGCAAAACAGCTCTTTGGGGATTCCTCTTAAAAAATACCAACTATGTCAGCATCTCCATTCTCTCAGAGTTTCATAAGCATGTATCAACACACACCTATGTCACGCTGTCCTGCAAAATATATATATGTTTATAGTCATTGGATTGAAGTCAGATTCATATGGCTTACACATTTACTAAGCAATAGATTTTGAAGCTAAACAGAACTTATCTGGGTTTCCTACTTCATTGAAAAAGTTTAGAACATATTTTTGAAATTACAGAAGCTACTTCTTTATATAAGTAGAAAAGGATGTCACACAGAGTGCCTTCCTGTTAGCTAGCTGTTATTTTGCTGATAGGTGTGGAAAAAAGGCGTTAGCATCTCTATTTTTTCAGCAGTATAATCCTTCAGAAAAATGTA